TTTTTTTGTTTTAGAAAAAAATGAGCGAGTTAAGTTGTTTGGAAACTATTTGCAAAATATATTTTTATTTCTCACAAATACTATTTTGGATTTTGTTACTTCTCATGACTTATTTTGATGACTTATTTTTTGATTTATGTATGTTCCTTTTTTATCAGAGACTTTAAAAAAGGGGTCATTTTTGTTCTTAATTATATTTTTAATCTCATTTTTTTATAACACACAAAATACAATGATTTTATATTAAATGATTTTTAATATAGGTAGAATTTGTGTTGAAAGTTTGCCAACAGAGTCATTTCTTAAAAGTATAGAGCTATTAAAATGAACTTTTTGAAATTACAGTGACTAAAATGAATTATAATTTAAAAGTACAGAGACGAAAATAAACAAAAATCGAAGAATCAAAATGATATTTTAATCCAAAAAATATAACCAACCTATAAATTTAGAGTAACATTAATATTATTTGAGCATAATATTTATAAAGTTTATTTTAGAATAACAATAATTAAAACTTGTTTTAGAAAAAAGTTGCCCAAACAATGCTTTAACACAAAATGTTACTATTGAACATACGACAGAATGATGAAAAGATTTTTGAACTCTAAGAAAAAACCTTCAAATCATTATGCACTATTTTTTCTTTAAAAATTTATATAGATTTGACAAAATAAAAAAAGAAAGATAAAACATAACTCAATAATTAAAATAATAAACACAAGAAAGTGTGAAGCTTTCAAGCAGCCAAAAAAGTCAAGCATTGACTGCCTACCAAAGAAAATAAGAGCGTAAGCTTTGAAGAAAAATCAGATAAAGAGAGATGGAATTCCAACCCACTAGTCGAGATATTATTATTGACTCACCATTTTTAACTATTTTTCGGTGGACAATAATTATACAATTTTAAAAAAAAAATAATTTTAATCTACTACATAATTATCTTGATTTTAATTCTATAACTTAATTAAATCCCACATTCAATTTCAAAATTGTCAATTGAATCCCAAATAGAACAAAGCATGGCTAAAATAGGTTCCAATCTCGTCAAAAGTTCATTTCATTTTGGTTTTTTAATTTTAAAAAATATCTATTTTTTAATTATGATAAAAAATTTATATATATTTCATAGCATAAACGAATTGTTTTAATTTTCGGACTTAATGCCTATTTTGGTTTGGATAAAGTTAACTTGAGAAAGTATCATAATATAAATTAATTATTATTTTAGTCACTCTACTTTCGACTTTAGTTCATTTTGGTGTTTATACTTTCAAAACATCAATTTATGCGTTTATATTTTCAACTTTTATTCATCTTAGTTGTATTTACAAAATGTCTATCTGGTTTCTATCCTTTTACAAAAATTCTTAAGATATAGCTATAAGATTATCCTAAAAGATTTCTATTGTATATGAAATTTATATAAAAATTTTACAAACAAGGATTGAAATAGTCCATTTTAAAAATACAGATACCAAAACACTCGTTTTAAATGTATAGGAACTAAAATGAAATAAAATTAAAGTATATTAGTTAAAATAGATATTTTGAAAGTAACTAAAAATATATATATATATATACAGTATATAGACTGAAATTATATTTAAAGCTAAATTTTATAAATGAGTTAGTTATATTTATCTATTCAAGTTTGAATAATGTATTTAATATTCAGTTTACATTATTTTATACCATTACAAATCTCTCGAATAGGGTGAACAACAATTCAAATATTAAAAGAATCATAAATTAGATTCTGACAGACCTATTAAAATATTCAGCATCTCGATTCTGAAACAATTATTTTATTAAATTCGTTTATTATTTTAATGGTTTAAATAGATTGCGTCAAATGACGTGTACAAGAGCGTGGAGCACAGGGTTCTGGCAAATTCCAAGTCAGAAGCGCGAGTATCAGTCGCAGTTTTCTACAACCCTCGAATCAGAGACAACTTGTACGGCCCATTCCCAGAGCTAATCTCGCGGGACACGCCCGCGGTTTATAGGCAGTTCACTTACAATGATTACATAACACGCTTCTTCAATAAGGAACTGGACGGCAAATCTTTGCCCAACCATTACAGAGTTTGAATTCTTAAACTCTCCCTATATTTCACATGTTATGTTTGTATGTTACAAACAACTTTGCAAATATGATAGTTTTATTTCATGAATTTAGTGTAGTGATGATTAAATTAATCGGACAGGTTGATTAATATGGTTTGTTTTCAATTTAATCCTTTGGAGTATTTTTTTTTTTTGTCGTTCAATTTTCGAAGGTGTGTCTACTAAGTTTTGTATTACTCTTTAAACAATCAATTATGATATCAAGGACATATGGCAAGAGAACCACATTGATGGGAGGATTTACTTATACTCTTGAGAATCTCATTAAATAATCAACAATAAGACGAAGGCCTTAATAGGGTTATAAAATATATAAATTTTGTTTTAAAAATTAAAAGCAAGCTCCCCCAATTGCTTTAGGCACGGGCTCATCTTTTGATTTTGAATGTTGATGAATAATTTCTCTATTGAAATCACATGATAAAAATCTCAACCACTAAAAAACAAATTAATATATTAATCTGAATATAACTCAACATATATTCCAACTAAAAAATTGTAATTTTCAAAACTTTACTTTTAGGGAAGAAAAATTCTCAATGCATATGAAGGAGTGAGAACAAAAGAGAGTACTCGACTTTGGATGGCCTAAGGCTCAATATATTGTTGTTGTTATCTTGAAATAACCAAACCATGACTTTATATTACAACCAATTATGTGTTGTTGGCTGCCAATTTTTTGGTGCCAAGGTTTATTTTGGTCTGATTCAAAATTTTCATTTCAGTCCTTATTTCAAGTTTTGTTCATTTTAATGATGATTACTTTTTAAACGTTTGTATTTCTCTTTGATCAAAATATTAACATGAATTTCTTCATTCACTAAGTTTCATGAATTATACCTGTAAATTTGTTTTAATAAAAGGTTTTTAATTGTAAATATAAATCTCAATGGTGACTTTTTTTAAATTACACAAAAATATTCTAAAATGATCCAAAGTTAATTTAACATAGTTTAATTTTATTTTGATTTGATTATTTTACTTGGCAATATCTGAAGATTCTGAATTTTGAAAAGGCTTTTTAACAAGAGGGAGTTGGATCTTCCCAACAATTTCTTACCATTTTTAGTTCACTTGGAAATAATAATTAGGGGTGGGCATAGAAGACCGAAAAACCAATCCGACCGATCAAAACCGATCGAACCGACGTCGGTCGGTCGGTTTAAAAGATGAATTAGTCGACTCTTCCAATATCAAAGGAACCGACCGACTTATTAAAAAATAATAATAATAAAATTCCATTCGAGCATTCCATGAGAGAGCTGTAAGAGATGAAACAAAGAAAAAATGGTAAATGAGAGTAGATGGAATGCAAAAGAAGAAAGGGGGTAAGAGGTGAAGAGAAGAAACGAGAGAAGGTAGGAGAGAGAAAAAGAGAGGGAAAAAAGATGGGGAAAAATAAATTGAAAGGAAAGAGGGAATGGCTTATAGAAAGCCACGTGGGTGGAAAAATTGAAAAGAAAAAAAAAATCTATAAGTTTTTATATACTTTTATTTATTTATTATTATATTTTACCTTTTCACCCATTTTTCTTCTCCAACCTACGTGGCTCTTTAGTAGCCATTCCTTCAATTTTAATTTCTCCCTCTTATCTCGTTACTTCTTTTTCTTTTTTACTTATCACTCTCTTTCTTATACCATTTCTTCTTTTCATTCATGTTTCCTCTCTCCACCTTTCTTCTCTTTCTTCCTCCATGTTCTTCTTCTTCCTCTCTTCGACTCTTCCCTTTACCCTTCTTATTTTTCTTCCCTCATTTCAATCACACAGCACTCATTTTGAACAGCGCTGATTTCTTCTAAGAACCGACCAAATCGACCGATCGAACGTCGGTTAAACGTCGGGTTTGTACAGAGAGGTAAAAAGAAAAAGTCTCCGACCGACCGAGACCGATTATGTCGGTTTTCGACATCGGGGTTGGTAAAAAACCGATCTCGACCGACGCTCAACCCTAATAATAATGGTATTTTTTATGCCAAGCACATGCCAAATAATCACGTGGACGAAAATTTTGAATTAAGAAAATAATTTATAAAAAATGGTTTGACGGGAAATATTTCATTTAATCTTGTTTCCTCTGGGTCCTCACCTTTCAAATATCTATTTTAATCTATAGATTTTTTTTAAAATTACTATTTCAGCCTTTTAATTTTCAAAATATCTATTTTAATTTTTGAACTTTTAAGAAATAACTATATTAGTCATTGCCATTAATTATTTTGCCACCTAATATGTTCTTACTCAATAGTTACCTCAATCAATTTATATGGTTCCAATATATGTGCACGTTAACATATACACATCCTAAAACCCACGTTATTCCTTTGTTAAAAGGAAAACAAAAATAAATATAAAAATCATTATTAATTTTTTAATTTCAAAGACTAAAACTTTACCTGACTAAGAAATTTGATTGGTGGTCCGTGTTTGCATCAACTTATGGAAAAAATGAACGTTTCAAAAATAGTAGGAAAAAGAAAATATACCTTTAGTAAGATTGTCCATCTAAAACGGGTGCATTATCTTTTTTTTAAATTGGGTGAGATTTATAGTGTGTTTGGGATGACTTTTGAAAAAAAAAGTTTTTTTTAATAAATAAAACCACTTTTTCTGCCGGCACTTTGGGATGAAGTTACTGATTTAGAGTGTAATTAGTATAGTTTCCTATAATGTTAGATATCTAATATATGAATTAAATTTACCAAACTCTGCTTTTGGATTTAGGGATGGTTAAGTAATATATATTTTAAAAAATTTCATGACACTATTTTATTCACTATTTTATTAATTGAATTTCAAAATTCTTGATATTCTTAAATTAAATATAATACAACTAGAAATTATAATAATTATTGAATGTAATAAGTAAACTTGTTCATATTCCAACTTTTTAAATCATAAGAAAATAGTTCAGGGGAGATTTTACGGTTATGCTCGAAGCATGTAACCTTGCCCTCAAATCAGATACTATCTTTGATGCTATTTAAATAGGTAAAAAAATCTTTGGAAAATAGTTCTAAAACATTTTTTGAGTTAAAATTCCATTAGTGTGACTAGCGAAAGGCAAACATCACATTTGTAAATTGAAAATTTATTAATTTTATATTATTTTTTAATAAAGTGGAATTTTATATTAATTTTATATTCTATAGGTTAATCGGTCTCTAGTTGACACTTCTTTAGAACTATTTTTCTTTGGAATAAGCACACATTTTAATAATCACACATGTTTTAAAATAAGTTAAAAGCGATTGATATTAATATTATGTCTATATTTTTTTTATGTAATACTATAAAAAGGTTGATTTATCATTTAGTTATCAAATTCATACACATGTGATAGTGTCTGTGAGAGGCATGCTTCACCCACCAAATATGAACTAAAAAAAATGAATGAAATGGAAAGTTAGGAATAAATGTGAACCTCAATTAGTGGCAAGCTTCATGATACACACAAATTCAATTCAATTCATCGTCCATGGCTTCCTCCATTGGAGCCATTCGTTAAGCTTTTCTCTCTCTACATCCAATCATATATATATTTGGAAATTCCCACTCTGTAAAACTCCGAATCCCCCAAATCCCCTGAGTTCCTCGAAATGTTTCCCTTCTCCTTCCCGTTCATCCTCAATCCTCCCGTTTCAATTCGCCTCTGAAATCTGTCTTCTTCTCGATTGATTGATTCGATTCGATTCGATTGTTCTAATTCGCAGCAGATCAGAATCAACCATGGGATTCAGATCTCTGTTCTACCGCAAAAAGAAGTCGTACGCCTCCATCAAATCTCCGATCGTCGTCTCCACCGCCTCCGCCAG